TTGAATCTGTTTCATGGATTCCATTTCTTTCTTATGTTGGGCGATCATGTTTTCCATTTCTTTCTTATGCTGGGCATTCATGGCTTCCAGCATGTTTCTGATCTCATCTATTTTCTTATCTGTTTCTGTTCTAGAGCTTCTAAGCATGTCTTTCACTCTGCTCACCATGTCTGTATTTATCTGGGAAATTATTTCTGTTTTGAAATTTTCTAGAGCCTCATGCATCTGCTTTGTTACTTCCTGTGCTATCAGTTCAGGGTGTCTAAGTGGTTGCTTATCAGAGTTTTCCACCTCATTTCCCCCAGAATTTCCTTTTTGTGGCATGGAAGCCTGCATTTGTGCCTTGCTTAAGTGTCTTCTCATTTTTGTTGTTGGTACTGTACTTGGTTTAATTCCTGGGTTGATATTTCAAGATTGCTTAATGTAGGTATCTTTGTTGCTTGTGTTTAAAACCCTTGTGGAATGATTGCTTTTCAGAGGTGTCTTCTAGATATGGCGTGTGTTTGGGTTTTGAGACTCTAATGACTCTGGAGCTATTATATTTTTCTTATACCAGGAAGGAAAACTAATTAGATCAATCACAACATGTTAGCCCAAATGATATAGTCAGCAATACCATAGCATCAAGCACAGCTTAGAAAATGACAATTTGTCGTGGTTATTAATCTATCACTTTTAACTATGTGAGTTAAATTAAAAACCAAGGACCAACCCAACGTAAGTTTATAATGAATAAATTCTTCAATATAGCATCTTTCCCCTTTGGGGTGGGGAGCTAAAAGGAGTTGGGGAGGGAGGGACAGGTAGAAAGAACAGGTAAGATTAGCGGTGAGGCTAGAAGACACAGAAAGATCACACAAACTCTAAGAAGTTGGTAAAGGCAAAAGAAAATGGCAGAATGAGAGAACAAAGATGTGAATAGAATCACCTAACAGCAACAGGCAAGCTAGATACCAAATTTACTTTCCTGTAAACCTAATGATAATCAAGAGAAGGTAAAAGAGAAGAAACAACAGTAAGGGAGAAATCCGAATTCAGTGCAGAAAGGAACAAATGGGGAGACGAGGGGCAATGTGGGACAGTGAGAGAATGAGGGAGAGAGAAAGAAAAGATAAAAGAAAGAAAAGAAAAGGAAAACTTTGAAGAGTAGAAAAAAAGTAAAAATTAAGAATTAAAAATAAGAAAAAAATTTTTTTCCTTTTTTGCAAATAGCAGTAGAAATTATGGGCCTCCTTCAGGGTATGTCTCTGTTGTCACAGTAGGCAACGTAGGAATCCCTGTGCATATACAAGTCAATGAGTCTCAGCAAGGCAGCAGCAGACCAAGTACAGTGGTCTGGTGTGCCTTTATTGCAGAGATTCTCTTTACTTTTCTCCTGAGCTTCAGTTTTCATTGAGGGGCCTCAGAAGCCCTCTTTCTGTTACTAACTTCTGCTCTATCTTGTGGCAATCAGGACAAGGGTCTTTATAATCTCCTGTGCCTCTGTAGTGTGGGATCAGGTAGCAGAAAAGCCAGAAGGGGGCGGGGGGGGGGCGGGACGGGACTGAGCGTTGGAGGCGCCCGCGCGGCTAAGCAGACGTCACCGTGCCGTGCCGTGGGCGTGGCCCGGGACGGCTGCCTCAGGAGCTTCAAGCTGCTTGTCTTGTCTTACCCGGCCGGTCGCCACATCTTTGAGAGCGTCGGGTGGGGGTGGGGCTGCCCTTTTATTTTATTCTTAAATAATGTTTCCAGTGAATATATGTACTCTGATGAGAATGCAGTTGCATTTTATCATTTTAAAAAATTGGGAGGGTTATAAGTAAGAGGAAAAAAGGACAAGAATATCCTAAGAGAGTTGCAGAAAAACCTTGATATTCATTTGATTGTAATTCTACAACTGTTCTTTAGGTACAGGACTGCCAAGTAGGCCGAGGCTAAATATGGCATGGATGGCTTCACACTGAAGCCAAAAAACCAGTACTTCACATAACATTGGTGCATTCTTCTTGTGTGTATGTGTGTTTTTTGTTTTTTTTGGCACCGGGGATCAAACTCGGGTCCTTGAGCTTTCGCAGCAGGCAGCGTAACCGCTGAGCTAAAGCCCCGGCCCTTGTGTATGTTTTTAATAGATGCTTTTATTGATAAAGTTTTATTTTTTTTTCTATATGGTATAAATCTGCTTTGGGAATTATCTCTATTAATAATTAGTACTTCTACTATTTACTAGATTGCATGATAGTTTGAAATTTCTCCATGAGTTGTCACCTATATTGTTATTGCTGGTGAATAAAATGTGACCTCTGAATTATTGTTTTCGGTTGCTTTAACAAAGTTTGTCAGTCTGGGTAACTTCATAAAGAAAAGGCTCAAGGACACTGCACTGGCATCAGCTCTGGTAGGACCCTGTGGCAGATGACATCATCATGGCAGGAGAACTTTCCTAGAGGGAGAGATCACATGGCCAGAGGATCACATGGCCAAGAATTATGTCGGGGGTCAGGCTCAGGCTTTCCTAACATTTTTCTGTGGTGAGAACTAAATCAAATCCCAAGAGAACTCCCTTAACCACGTCTGGTGGGGTACCCACTAATCTATGAAATCCCTATTGCCCCCCCTTTTAAGGATTCTACCACTTCAATACTGCCACACTGGGGACCACCTACTAACACAGGAACTTTTGTGGGGCAAACTCCATCCAACCCACAGTAACCTTTAATCAGAAGCAAAGGATCAAACACTTCTTTCGATAGTGGAATCTGTAACTTCTCTTTGATAACCAGAGATACTGTGTCTCTCTCCTTTCCTCAATAGGTCATAAAAAGAAGCAAATTGCAGTGTTTATTGCACAATCTTAGCCAAAATGCCAAGAAGGGATGATTTTCTACATCTTTTGTGATTCATTAATGGATTTGTGGCCATCTTTATCTTAAATTCTGTGAAGGCAGGACTCAAATATTATACATTGCTTTAAAAATCTGTATGAGTTTTCTAGAAGAACAGGGACATTAGAATATATAACCATAAGAGGGGATTTATTAGATTGGCTTACATGATCAGAGGCCAGATAGTCCCACAATGGCCATCTGCAGACTGGATAGCTGGGGTAGCCAAGAGCTGCTCAGTCCAAGGAGCTGGAGCCTCAGAATCAGAGGGGCCAAGAATACAGTCCCAGTCTGAGACTGAAGTGCTGCAAGCCCCCAGAGAGTCAGTGATATGACGAAGAATTGGAGTCTGAGGTCAGCTGACCATGGCAGCAGCTCAAGAAGAATGGGATTGGACGTGTGTGAGAGGTCTCTCTTCATCTGCTTTTTGTTCCGGGGGCCCCCAGCCTTTTGAATGGTACCTCCTACATTCAGAGCAGGTCTTCCTCCTTCAGTTCACGGATCCACATGCCAATCCTCTCAGGAAACTCTTCACAGACACATCCAGAGGTCAAGTTACCATTTTCTGGGCATTTCTCAGTCCGGTCAAGTTGACAACCACGTTAATCATCACAATATCAAAGGGTATCCTTTGGAATCTCATTCATTTTTTTAACTGTTTCACCCTCCATACTCAGCTGACCTGATTTCCAAAAATTTACTTGCAAGTGATTACTTGAAATCTGTAATTTATTTTCACATAGGTGCACTCCAGCTGGTGTGTGTGTGTGTGTGTGTGTGTGTGTGCGCGCATGCATGTGTGTGTGTGCCTTTTGACTGAAAGAGTTTTTTCCAAGCTCATTTTTGTTTATTGTGAATTCATTTGAGAATAATATAACACCCAAGTCTGGCCCCTCTACCAGCATTATGAAATCTTAACATTATGCCATCCTTTCCAGTTAATTTTTAACTTTCAACCTAACGACTGGTGATGTATGTAGTTCAGTGGTAGAGTGTTTGGCAAGCATGCATGACACTCTGAGTTTGGTCTACAGCACTGTAAAATGTATAAGTAATCAAAGTAAAAGAAGGAAAAAAAAGAAAGATTACTATGGAGATGCATTTCTGCTTAGAACATTTATATTGGAAAATGACCGGAGACAGCCTTCCTTCAGGGCTGTCAGAATTCCCCCTGGTAATACCCTGTAATGCCAAGACAGGCTTTAACTGTGCACTTAAGTAGGTGTGCACAGTAATAGTTCCAAGGAAATGCAGTCTCAAGCTATTATTATAAGCAGTCTATTACGTAGTTGTTTTTTCTCTTATTTCTCTCTCTTAGGAGACGTTGCTGTTTTTAATATTTGCCCTTTTCTTTGGAACAATAGAATTAAAGAAGGGGAAAATGTTACTTGCATATGTGTTCCTGCTACTCAAAAGTGTGACCTGCTAGCTTTGTTATCACCAGGGAGCTGGTTAGAAAAGCAGAATCCCCAGGCCCACCTCGTACCCCATCTCATATCAATTGAATCAAAATAAATAAGTAATAAAGAAAAGCTATTTCATTTATCAAGACCCTGGAGTGATTGCAGGTTAAAGTTTGAGAGGCACTTTAAGTATGTTCTACCTTCATGCGTACTATCACATTTTTATAGAATTTAAATAGTGTAAATTGGGTAGGTAAGTAGAGTCACTTCTAATTCACTATTCTTAGAAGTAGTCTGTTGAGTGTGCCTACCCAATACATAACATAAATATATATTTTTCTGGCAGATTCTTTGTGGCTTTCATTTTTTGTAATGTCTGATAATTTACTAATTATATTCAGAATTATTGACTGAGCCTCTCTCTCTCTCTCTCTTTGCAGTTGTATTATTTCTTTTGAAGACATTTCATTATTGTTCATTGACTTTTCCCTCATTACTGAGGCCTTTGGAGTGGAGTTATGTCAGCTGCAGCCTTGATTACTTTGGTTAGAAGTGGTGGGAACCAGGTGAGAAGGAGAGTACTGCTAAGCTCTCGCTTGCTTCAGGATGACAGGCGGGTGACTCCTGTGTGCCACAGCTCCACCTCAGAGTCTAGATGTTCTCGGTATGACCCTGATGGTAGTGGGCGTCCAGCCACCTGGGATAATTTTGGGATTTGGGATAACCGCCTTGATGAGCCAATTCTACTGCCACCCAGCATTAAGTATGGCAAGCCAATTCCCAAAATCAGCCTGGAAAAGGTGGGCTGTGCCTCCCATATTGGCAAACGGAAAGATAACGAAGATCGATTTGACTTTGCTCAGCTGACAGAGGAGGTCCTGTACTTTGCAGTGTATGATGGACATGGGGGACCTGCAGCTGCAGATTTCTGCCACACCCACATGGAGAAATGTATTATGTATGTACATTTGCCTTTCACCTTTGATTTGACAATTCCCCTTTGTTTCCGGTTTAAACTTTTATCTTTTGGCTGAGATGTCCATTGTAAACTAAGTAACTTGAGAAGTTTCACATTGCCACCCTATGAATGAGCAGTAGTTTATGCATGCAATTTATTACTCATAATTAGTACCACTTCAGAAATGTGTGTCTTAATAACTCTCTAGGAAAGCATAGACCAGAATGTACAGTACTTTATTTGTGACCATTTCCCATGAATTAGCATAAAATATATGAGATAACCTATCAGGCACATTTACTCCTGTTAGTGCAGGGTATGTAATAAGTGCTTCAATAGATGGTACTCTTTCAAGTGGTATGAATAGCTTTGAATACTGTTTGAAAAGAGCTTTGGACAGTGCCATCTGTGTGGAGAAAATGCATTTAATGTGGGAGTTTTGAGGCTCTTTAAAATTTTATGTATTCCTATTATTATTGCTGTTTTGAAAATCACTATTGCTAGAATTAAAAGAGGGGGAAAACATCACAGAGTTATGACCATATACTACTTCTTATCTTTCTAAGTGTATAGTTAGCTATACTGTTTATCAGTTGATTTATGTATCATTTACCTCATGCCACAAAATAACTCAGTAGTTTAACCTATTTATTTTTTAATTTTTGCAGTACTGGGGATTGAACTCAGATCCTTCACACTGAGCTACAGCCCCAGACTTTTTAAAACTTTCTCTGAGACAGGGTCTCACTAAGTCACTAAGCTAATCTTGGATTTAGACTTGGGATCCTCCTATTTTAGACTCTCAGAGTGCTGGGATTACAGGCATACACTACCTAGAATAGTTCAGTAGTTTAACTTAATATGAAGAAATTCTTGGTCTCACAGGGTTGTAGTAGTGAGAATTAATTCTTTTAAGAATAGGCACTTGTCACGTGTCTGTAGCACTCTGGGAGACTGAGGCAGGAGGATAAAAAGTTTGAGCCCAGCCTTGGCAATTTACCAAACCTGTCTCAAAATAAAATATAAAAAGAGTATGGGGACAAGCTCCTGGGAAGGCCTTGCATTTAATGCCCAGTACCTCAAAAAATTGATTGATTAATTGATTGATTGATGCTAGGCAAGTAGTTTACCACTGGACTGTGTCCCCAGGCAGACTTTGATTTTCCTACCCTTAAAAGCTTATCACATGCATGAAGCTCTAGGTTCCATTCTAATACCACAAACAAACAAACAAACAAATAAGTAAATTTTTAAGAAGTCTATTGTGTGAAATGACTGCTGTATAGAGTGATCATGAAGAGAGACACTGATAGTAAAATGATTGTTTGGGGCTCTCTTTCCTCTCTTCAAAGGGATTTGCTTCCTAAAGAGAAGAACTTGGAAACTGTGTTGACCTTGGCTTTTCTAGAAATAGATAAAGCCTTTGCAAATCATGCCCACCTGTCTGCTGATGGTATGTAAAGCAATCACGTTTCTCAAAGTCTTAGGAAGGTGGGAGTATAAAGGAAACAGCCTAGCTATGAGGGATTTTAATGTATGTTTATTTGTAAGGAAGCTTATATAGAAATGATTTTATATATGCTATTTGGAACCCAAACTAACGTCAATACCTCACTTTTTTTTTCTCCTTAAATTCTTTTATTGGTACATTTTAGGTATACAATATGTTTACATTTATCATTGGGTGCTTGTACCTGTACATGATGTATCTCGGTTCTTATTTTTTCCCCATTACCTGTGTGCGCTTCACCCCTCAGTACCTCACTTTAACATAAGAATTTTTCAGAAAGGGAAACACCTAATGGTTCTGTTATTAGATATTTTTTTAATTTTAAGAAGATTTAAAAAATGTTTTTATCTGTTTGATTTCTTGCTTTATGAACACGATATCCATACTTTGAGAATATTTTCCCACCAATAGATCTGATGAGCAAGGGCTAAAATACTTGAATAATTATATCTAGAGAGGATGGAGATTGTTCCAATAAGAAAATCACTAATAAACCTTAAAATAGGAAAGGAAATTGCTAATATGCACTAGTTTGTATAATAAATATATATATATTTTTTGGGGGGGGATACTGGGGATCAAACTCTGGTCCTTCTGCTTGCGAGGCAGGTGGTGGAACCACTGAGTTAAATCCCCGGCCCTAGTTTGTATAATCAAAAGGAAGATATTTTTCTCCTGCCTTTTAAAGCTCAATCTTGCAGCTTTTCTGTGTTATCTAGTGATTTTTTATTTTTGTTAAATATTAGAGCATGCCAACTGAATTGAAAAATGTGTGTACAGTATGGCTGTACATTTTGAAAGTAAAATGTTTCTGGTTTTGACTAGATTTATCAAAACCATTTCAGGGGGCTGGGGATTTAGCTCAGTGGTTTTGCCGCGGTTTCGCTGCCTGCTGTGCAAGCACAAGGACCCGAGTTCGATCCCCGGTACCAAAAAACCCCAAAACAAAACAAAACCAAAAACAAAACCATTTCAGGAAAATATAGCCAATGTTTTCTAGTTAGCTGCCTAAAATCTTTTGCTTATAATGTTAACCCTGAGAATTTAAGCAGCAGCCATAGGATGTATGCCTCAAAATTGATTTGAAAGTGAATCATGCAATAATATTAATCTGTATTTGTTTCATCCTTTTCTTTTAAAAAATGTATCACAGAAATGTCACTTTCACATTTTTCAGTTGGAGTGCACAGGGATAGAAATCTCCATTTCACAGATAGGAGCTGAAACTCAGAGGGGAAAAGGTCAGTTCAGCTTAGGGCTGGAACTTTCCTGCAACCCAGTATGGCCTCTCTCACATGAGTATTTAATGATGAGGAGAGGAGAAGGTAACTAAGGGATGGCTCTATTCACCATCTTGAAAGGTATTTCCTGCTCTTCTCTGTTCTTTTTTTCTTTGCCTTTTCTTTTTCTTTTTGCAGTGCTGGGTATCAGACCTCCCACTTTGAGCATGGTAGACAATCACTGCTCCACTGAGCTACACCTCAGCCCTTTGCTGCATTCTTTTGAGAACCTTACTGTCATACTCTTTAGAAAAGCATTATAACCTGCTCTCCCTTTGTTCTATTTTAGTTTGTACATTATTCAGGCCCATTTTCTTCTCTCCATTCCTTTGAACAAGCTTTATGAAGATAGGAGGTGAGAGAGGATAAAGTTTTTGCATAAGATTGAGCTCTTGTTCCAAATGGGTAAAACACATGAAGAAGAGAAAATAAATTTGTTCGATTTTTATAACCCTGAATTTTGGTATGCTCTTAGTTTACCTATTCCCAGACCAGCTGTGAGTCTGGCTGCATCACACACCACGTTGTTTATGGGCAACACTGTTGCGCCTGTGGTGTGTACCAGCTGTCCCACAAACAGCTGCAGCTTGTGAGGTCTGAGAAAGGAACAGTCCAGAACCATGGCATGTGGCCAACAGCCAAACACGGTCAAGGTGCAGTCAGCCTTTCTGAAAAGGATCCAATCAGTGTTGATGATGAGGATAATTGCTATTAGATTTGGTGTATAACTTGAAAGGATGTCTTTCATTTATTAAGTAATAAATTATAATTCAAGGGAATTTTGAACTTAGAGTATTTATTTAACGTGTGTACCTTAAAAGAAACTTTCTATAAATCACTTTCTTAATATAGTCCAACAGGTGTATAGGGAAATTAATCATAAACTGTAATTCATTCCTAATAATGAAATTAAAATATATTGTTTAGTTCCTCTGTCATACACTTTAAGATATTGGCCTTAGAACTTTATAAAGATATTTTAAAATTTATTTTTTATTTAATAGATATTTGTTTGAAAGTATACTAGACCAAGATAGAATAATGTTTAGAATGCTAGTAAAAATATAACATTGTCATTAAATGTTATTATGTACATATTCTTATAGTTTATTAGTCTGCATTTTTAAAAATTAGTGTTTTGAGAATATTTAAAAATTTTATTCTTCATAAGTTGCCCAATCTTTCAAAGATGCAAAAATTATCTTCTGGTACTGGGACCTATTTTATCGAATACATTAAAGTCACTAAACATAGAATGCTGTATGTTAACTTTTCAATTTTTGGAGTGAAAAAAGAAACCTATCTCATTATAGATTTCGAGGTTATTTAAATTGAAAAAAAAAAGAAGTTTTTAGCAAGAGCTAAAGCAGTATCAGTATTATAAGAGTGGAGAGCCTAGAAAAAGTCTGTGGTTCCATAATTTTCCCTGTCTACTTGTTTTCCACTTTTCTTTTGGCATTAGGCCCATTTTCACAACTTTTGAACCCTTCTGGTTCTGGCTTTTTTTTTTTTTTCATTTTTTTCTTTTAAGTACTGGGTCTTGCAAAGTAATCTACTACTGAGCTACACCCCAGCACTTTTTTTTGTGACCAACTTTGAATTTTTTTGTATTCAATTTATAATAGTAATGTGTATTTTTATAATTATTAAACCAGCCAGTAAATTCAAATGATATCCACTGCCTTGTTGTTTATAAATAGCCACTTAAAACAAACTAGATAGTAGAAAACTTAGATTATAATCCTGTGTATTTTATAAACTCTTCAAAGTGCTTGTAGGTTGCTTAGCTTTGAGAGCAGCAGAGCTCCCCATTGGACAAATGGATCAAAAGGAGAAAACTTGCTCTGACACAGAGTGAGAGACACGAATGGAGGCACAGCTTGTCTCATGGGAAACATTGCTGCTTTTCATATTATGACTTATTTATAGAAAAACTAAACTAAAAAATAACCAGGGACATTTTTTGTGTGGTGTTGGAGATTGAACTCAGGCATTTAAACATATGACCACTGAGCTACATCCCCAGCCCATACAACTTTTTTCTCTTCCAGTACTGGGGATTGAACCCAGGGTTTTCTCATTGAGGTACATCTCTAGCCCCTTAGAAGAATTTTTTTTGAGGCAAGGTTTAAGTCGCCTAAGTTTCCTAGCTTGGGCTCTAACTTGCTATCCTCTTGCCTCAGCCTCCCAGAGTCGTGTGACTATGGACCTGTGCAACCATGCCCAGCCCCTGTGCAACATTTTTAAATACCCTTCTGCTAGGAATCACCAAACTGGAAAAAAAAAAAAGTAGGGACAACACTGAAGAGAAGTTCTTATTGTTCTGCTACTGCTTCAGCTCATTACTTTGGTTTTGGTGTTTGTGAGTATACATGTCTAGAACACCCATTTTTAATATGTATGAAGACTATTGATTTATAATATTATTTATACTACACAGTTTTATAGTTATTGGGGTTGTTATACTTTGAAAAGTACAGCTTTTACCTTTATGTTGCTGTTCAAAATTGTGATCATTTTTCTTCTGTTGTGTTGACCTGCAACACTGGGGAAAAGAGAGAGCTGCAGAAATTCCCATCTTATGAATTATATAAATTATAAATATGTGTTAGTGCTCAAAAGCCTTACTAGGATTTATTTAAACCATGGATCAAAATTAATCATTGTACTAAAACATGGTTTCTAGATACTAAATCCTTGCATTGTGCACCATTAACAAAAATGTTAAGCCTGTGTCTGGCATAGGAGGTGCCTTGATTCCTTCCTGGTAAATATTTAAGTCCCAGTAATTTGGTGGTATACTGTAGTTCACATCCTCTGCCTGTGTACTGCTTGTCTGATACAGATTATTCAATGCAGTCCCTGGGAATTTACTCTTTTGTTATTGGAACAACTTTGATGTTGTTACCAAAACAAATTTACAGTACATTTTTTCTAACTCAGTTATTGTACTTATTTACTGTGTTCAAAACCAATCATGTAAGCGTGTGTGTGTGTGTGTATGTGTGTGTGTGTGTGTGTATGCAGATGTGCATGTGTTGTTACTATTATGTTTTGGTATAGATGCATTTGCATATAATTTTTTCCTGACACAAAACTAAGAAAGAAGTATTAATCTGTGATTTAAAAAAAAGACTCAACTACAAAATACCATCCACTCGAGCAAGTTCAGTTTTCATTAATTTGGCACTCCTGGAATATGATATAATTTGTTAGTGAAATTTTCACCAAAATAAAAACCCTTCCCCTTATTTTGCAGCTCTTTCTCTGCTCTCCCCTGTGTTGCAGGTTTGTAATGTTTGAGCACAATTCCTGGGTGAATTTCCTATTTGCCTCTGTGCGTGTTATTTGTGGCAGAGAACTGTACGTGGTCACCAGCTCTAGACCTGGAGCCCGTGGACACTATATGCTGGGCTTCAGTGGAAAGAGGGATCTGCTTAATTTTGTCTCAGGTGAAGGAGTCCAGCGGTTCCTAGCCTGGACTACTGGAAGGTTCCCACATCCTCTTTGTCCCATTAGTTGAGATGACTTGCAGTATAAATTGTCCAGTGAGTGTTAAGAACTTATTGAAAGATGTCTTAGTTTTATAGTTTTATTAGGACAGAAAAGTGAGAATTTTTACTTCCATGTTAAATGACAATAAATGCTGATTTACTATTTATATTCTTAGATGGTTAGCAAATCAGAATCAACAGTTAGTTTTGAAACTTTTCCCTAACCCTGGGATTTTGGAACTGTGAAGTTGGATTGATAAAAACTCAAACTCTTTTAAATTCCTAAGTGGCAGAGCCATGAATTAGAAACCTAAACTACTAAACTTTCATTTATCAAATTTTAACTCTTGTCATAGCCAGTTAAAGATAACTTTAAAAAAAGCTGTTACTTACAGTTAAAAAAATTACCTGGATAGGTAACATCTGAATAAATGCCTGAGTTCCCTTGCCTGGCTGTTTAAATCATTTGAAAATAAGAGTTGCTTTAAATGGTAAAGATTCCATTGCTGTGTAAAAATTTCATCATTGTGTAATATCTGGCTAATCTCAAGTTAAAAGTTAACATTTGTAATAGAAACATCACTGATACATATTTTACAATAATATGACTTTGACATAACAGTTCCAAAATCAAGAGGTAAACGGGAAGATAGTGCAACTATAAATGCTGTTTCTCAATAAAGTAAATTCAGCATGACTATGAAAGATTAAGTAGAATTTATTGATGCTTTTCCATTTTACTTTTCCAATTAAAGCAGGCATTTTAATATACTGACTTGAAAAATCTATCTATTTATGGATACATATATAAAAATCTATTTATATATCTCCTTGCAAAATATATTACTGATGAAGTTTTTGAAATTGTCTTTAAGAAAAAATTCTTGGAAATATTGAGTCTCAATCAATAATACCTCTTTCTCCCTAAATTTACCTTTAAAATCAAAATCAATTTTGGATGGTCATCTGAATATGTTTAAATGCTTTAAAAGAATTAATAATGTGGGCTGGGGATTTAGCTCAGTCCCGAGTTCAGTCCCCACTACCAAAAAAAAAAAAAGAATTAACAATGTTACTAGAGATAATACCTGCTTTAAATGTTATCCTTTTCAATTTCTTCCACTTTGCTCTATTTTTTAGCTCATAATTTTATAGTATTTCACTTTTGGCAAGGCTCAATGCACCTTGAATTTTTTTTTCAACAAGTTTTGGTAAAGATCTTAGGGCAGACACTGTTAGAATAAATCAAAGAAAAATGTAAAAATGCAGTTTGATTTGGATGGACTGAATAGTGGCAATCTCAATCTCAGAACATCGAATTTTATTTGATCTCAGTCAAACAAATTTAGTATTTTTGGAATGCTCTGGGTTAGGACACAGAAGTAACAGTTGGCAGTACTGTCCTGCATTTGAATACAGGCTGTTAGATCCTTCTGGAGCTAATAGTGTTAACTACACCAAATTTATGAGAAATTAAAAAGAATTTGATTCTCAGCCCCTCAAATCTTCTGTTAACATAATTATGGCTGTAACTTCATTTAATGTCTAGGGAGAACAAAAATGAAGAGAAAAATATTTCAGCCTCCTACCATTTTAGAATAATTTTTGGTGATGATTTATGAAATTAAAACAATGTAGAAGGAAAGAAAATAAAATATAGCATTGAAGAGCAAATAGTTGAGCCAGGCATGGTGGTGCAGGATTGTAATTCCAGCACTTGGAAGGCTTAGGCAGGAGTCTGAGGTCATACACAGTGAGCTCAAGGCCAGTCTGAGCTACGTAGCAAGACCTTGTCTCAAAAGCCACCAAAAACCAAACAAATAAAGAGCAAATGGTTGGCCTTTTCCATCTTTCAGCCTATTAACATACCTTATTATACTTTGTGGAGGAGAAAAATCTAATCTGATGATTGCAAAAAAGTCAGGTTGCCTGAATGGGCTCAGCAGATCTAAATTATCCTGTCACAGCAGCCAGCCTAATTAAAGTACTTTAGTTTTGACACCTGACTTACATACAAAAGTGTCATCAGTATAAGTTTGATTCCACTCTACTTTATATGAAAAGAAGCCACTTAGGAGAAAGTAATGCATTATTTACCAAGTTAAATTAGCAACTTCTTCTGTTTGCATGGAGCCTTGTTATTATTGAGTTAAATAATTGTTTCTCAGCATGCTGTTACTTACATAGCTCATTTGCATTTTATTTGCATAGCTCTAGTTAAATTTAAATGATACATCCCAGAATTAGTTTATCATGTTCATGTTTTATTTTGTAATAAAAATTCTATATCCAATCATTTGACTCTCACTAACTCATATTCTTTTTTATAATATTTGTAGCAACCCTCCTGACCTCTGGGACTACTGCAACAGTAGCCCTGTTGCGAGATGGCATTGAACTGGTTGTAGCCAGTGTTGGGGACAGCAGAGCTCTTCTGTGTAGAAAAGGAAAACCTATGAAGCTGACCATTGACCATACTCCGGAAAGAAAAGATGAAAAAGAAAGGTACTGCCACCGTGAATCATGAATCATTCTATGAGGATGCTGTTTATAGTTCAAGAGGAAATAAAGTATTATGTATCTATTCAATACTGAGGACTGATCCCAAGGTCTCTTACTAAGCTAGATAATCATTTTTTAATTTTTTATATTGAGACAGAATCTCATTAAGTTGCCCAAGATGGGCTTGAATTTAGGATCCTCCTCACTCAATCTCCTAAGTAGCTGGAATTACAGATGTGCACCCCCCCACACACAACTAAATGAAATTTTGCACTTTTTTTGTGGTGCTGGGGATCAAGCCTAGGGCTTTATGCATGCTAGGCAAGCATTGTTCCATAGAGCTATACTCCCAGCCAAAGTTTTGCATTTTAAAACTGATGTTGTGCATAAAATTAACAGAGGTATAGTTTTCTTCAATTGTATCTTTAGTGTTTTAACATTTTCTTGATCAGGATCAAGAAATGTGGTGGCTTTGTAGCTTGGAATAGTGTGGGACAGCCTCATGTGAATGGGAGGCTTGCAATGACAAGGAGTATTGGAGATTTGGACCTGAAAGCCAGTGGTGTGATAGCAGAACCTGAAACAAAGAGGATTAAGGTAAGAAAGGACTTGAAAACACTTGATACAGATACAAAGAATGAATAAGCAGACTTTCTTGGAAGATGTAACTGAGCCAAAATGACTTTTCAAAAGGGATTAATTTATGGAAGGGTAGATAAACTTTTCAGATAAAATAAGACACTATTTTCCTGACCTGCTATGCTGTGAAGTATTTGGTTTTTGTTTAACTCTAGCTGTGGTATTCTGCTAGAGTGGCTCTGTTGCCCTTTCTTTCCTACAACTGATCATTTAGTGTTTTTCCAGTGTGGAGCTGCCCTTGACTTTCATTTTCCACCAAGCTGAATAATTGCCTACCTACCTCTATTTCCATGGCCCACTGCCCTCATTACCCTACACTGTCCCAGGGCACAGCCTGTCTGTGATCTGAGACTTCCTTCTCAGAAACCCTTGAGCCAACTTAAACTTAGTACTTAATGGCTTCCAATAATGGCAGCAAATGTTTGTTCATTAATTGAGCGTGGTTTTCCTAGTAGACCTCTCATTTTATTTACAAATAACATGGGCTTTGCTATGTGCCAGGTTCAGTTCAAAAGAGGTACTACTATCCTCATTTTACAAGGAAGATGAATTAAAGCATACAGAGGTCTGAAGCATACAAAGGCTCACACTTTTAGGGCTGAAAAGTGCACACTCAGCTGAAAAATAGGATTTAAACTCTGGCTACCTCAGCATTTGGCTATCTGGCTTTTTCCTTTATGGTGTTACTAAGTAAATGTTTGGTTTATCCTTGGTGGTTGTTGATGCTTCTTACATTTCTGCTCTTTGCCTACAAACAGATGACCACTCAGCAGAACAGATAAAATCTTCTAATTGTCAGAATTATTCTAAGTTTGAGTCTAGTTTGTGATTGCATGCATTTGGTTCTAATTGCAGCTACATCATGCTGATGACAGTTTCTTAGTCCTCACCACAGATGGAATTAACTTCATGGTGAACAGTCAAGAGATTTGTGACTTTGTCAATCAGTGCCATGATCCTACTGAAGCAGCTCGCGCAGTAACTGAACAGGTGACATGGCAGAACTTTTGCTAGGAAATTCCCAAGGAGGGAGGGGGTGCAGAACAACCCCAGGCACATGGTCTCCATGCAGCCTGGAGTGGCTACCACCAGCTTCAGATTTCTTTGAAATCTTGTGTTTTAGCTTGAATGTCACAATGAATTTCATACTTGATTCCATAATATTTCCAACTAGCAAATTTTTACAATTTTCTCAAGTAGTTAAGTAAAACTAATAGGCCAGAGAAATGCCATGTTGCTTACTTTTCGACTTTGTATATACTTTGAAATGATAGTGACAGCAATAATCAATGATAATAATAGTAAATTAATATCACTTTGTGACAGACATTATTCTTTTCACATAATTCAAGTAGTGATCACAATAACCCCAAGATTGGAGCTTTTCCCAGGGAGGGAAATATGAGGTACAGAGCCCATTTTGCAGAGCTGGGCTTCAAACCTAGCCAGTCAACGTTCCCAAGTCAAAGCACTTGACCATTGAATTAGACTGCTCTAATAAAATATACAACTTGAGAAACACTGCAGCATGTAATGGATGAGAGATAATAGATTATAAGGCCAGGTCAGGGATAGGATACTGTCTTTGGGGAGGGTAAGGGTGGTTAGGCTTGAGAGGGATGTTGAGTGGTTGTTGGGATGAAGCTAGGGATGGGGTGGAAGTGTTCCAGACCTGGGTTTGAGGTGAGAGGAGGTGATGTGAGCCTCAGGGAGGGGCAAAGATGGAGACAGTAGGGCAGCTACAAGTGTTGGCTGTGTCCCAGGAATGGTCAGAGTGACTGACAGCTTAGCTAAGATGTCTTACCCTAAAAAGGGAACAGAACAGGTGGAGATGACTAAAAATGAGCACAGGAAAAGGTGCTGACCCAACTGACACCAAATTGGGGGAGTTTTTAAAGGTCTGAAGTCTTTGCCATCAATATCCATAATAGTAGTTGGGACCAGAGAGACTGGTCCTTGGAAAAAAGAAAGGGTGGAATGGCTAGCAACCATATTGACCAGGAGTGGGATGGACTTACTCTCCACCATAAGAGTTACCTGGAGTTCAGTGTCTGAGATGGGCCAGGGGGCCTCTGTGGCCTTCAGATGGTGTCAGTCCTCAGTGGCCAGGCCAAGAAGATCTGGGAAGGAGCTGGTCAGTGCCCCCTGGGGTTGTGACCCAGAGGTGGCTGCCAGTTCTGGGCAATCTGACTTCCAGCCACAGGAAGGACATGGCTTGGGAGGGATCCCAGGCTGTGTGCATTCCCTAGCCCAGTGACTATTCTGGCAGCATTTGAAGCACAGTTCCGGAGATGTGCCTTATGTCAAGGGCACCTTTGATCCCTTTGTGGTTAACTCAGTGGTTGACTTCAGTGGGTTTCTTATGGCAGAGGCTGGCAGCTGCAGCTCAGAAATGTGCTGCTTTTGGGCATTCTCATCTCTATAACTGAAGACCTTGAAGACCAAATTGATTGATCTTGCTGTGAGGTTTGAGGGCCAGTCCCCAGCTTTTATAGTTTATTTTTTTTAAATGTCTGAGGCAGACTGAATAATGAAGTGCATCTTAAGGATAAATTGCCTCTCCGGTGTTTCTGCATCTAATGGTGTATATCACCTAAGAGCAGGGGCTAGGTGGGCCATAAATTGGGCTGGATTTTCATCTCTGGCCTGAGTGGTCTCTGAGATTGTCACAATTAACTGCCTTATAGGCCACCCTATGAAGGCCCTCTACTGGGTAGTCAGTCATGCCATGTCAGTTGGCTAAGTTCCCTGATCCTGCCTGATAATTCCAGTTTGGATCCTACTGGGGAACAGCTGCATTGCCCATTGGAAGAGTGGCTTGAGTAAGGTGGGAATTGTCCCCATAAGATTGGGTTAGGGAGATTACTTGGTCTTGCTCATTCAGGGAGCATGTGGAGGTAAGGATAATATTTAAATAAGCCCAGGTAAGGTTATATGACTGAGTTGGATATTGGAACTTTTGCATATATTGGGTAGGGTCTGAAGAGAAGGAGCCTAGATGCTGGTTAATTTAGGAAAGGTCTGTCAGAGAGGAAGGAACATGAGCCCTAACTATTCCTTCTGCCCTGGCCACCTCTCGGAATGGGAATTGAGGAGCAGGGGTAAGTGTCTGGAGTCAAAGGAAAAGGTGAAGGGTGAGCAGCCAAACCGTAATCTGGACCAGGTATGGGGCAGGGTAGGGCTGGGTACAGCATATGGAGGGGAGTTAGAGTTAAGGGGCAGTGTTGGATAAATGGGAGACCTGGCAGGAGACTAGCTGGGGAGAGTGGCAGAGGGCTCAGGGGAAGGGAGGGAAGTGGCTGCAGTAGTCAAGGCAGTAGTCAAGGAAACCCTGGGGGGAGGGGGGAAGTGGCTGTGCCTGTTGTGGTGGCTGGAGTCTTGGGGGCAGGGGAATGGTGGTGTCTGCAGCTGGTACAGAAGGCGTGGGAAGTTTCCAGGGAAGAGCAAAGTCAGTTGGATCTGTTGTCAGGGGGGAGTCTGAATTGGATGGGGCTGGAGGGGGTCCAGAGCACAGCAGGGAAAGAAGGAGGATTTGAGAAGAATCACAGGAAAAGCATAGGGTAGAAAGACTATGGAGTGTAAAGAATGCCTGAACATAGGGTAACTTAGACCATTTGCCCATTTTTAGGCAATAATTATCTAAGTCTTGCAAGATGGAAAAATCAAAAGTGCCATTTTCTGGCCATTAAGAGACACTTTTAAGTTGATATTGTGGCAAGACAGCATTACAAAAAAATATTAGGTGTTTGGGGTTCAGATCAGGATAGAGACAGAGAGGTTTCAGGTTTTTTAGGAGACAGGCTAGGGGAGAAGAAGTGGGAATAGAGGGAGGGAGATTCCCCATGGAGAGCAGAGAGAGATAATGTAAGCAGCAACCAGGTCCACAGTGGGCATCCCCAATTGAGACACAGGGATGTAATAAGACATGGGTGGGTGATCAAGGCAGATGTCTCTGCAGTTGGCCAGCCACCAAGGGAGGACAGTTCCTCCTTGGAAGTGTTCCATGACCAATGTTGGATTTAAGAAATACAGAAAGTAGAATGAGTCTCTATCTTTATGGATAAGGAGTTAAAGAAAGAACTGACCACTGAAGGGTTCAAAAGAGGACAGTCTCAGCTTGTGAAGGGAAGTGGAAGGAGGAGAGGCTGTGGGATAGCAGGTACAGGGAAATGGAGCCAGGTGGGAGGATAAAGTGAAAGTTTCTCACTGGGTCTGAGGTAGTCTAGGCATCTGGCAGGAACTGTCTGAGATGGAGTCTGAGGAATGGCTTCTATCAAGTGGTCTCATCAAAGGCTCAAAATAGGGATGGAAGTCCTCCAGGGAGGTTTACCCTATCCCAGGTTTTGGCACAAAATGTAACAGAGGCATGGAGAGTAGAGAAACCGCTTAGGTCTGTCTTAGGTGAATAAACGAAGCCGCTTTGTTCAGTGCAAGCAAACAGGCGGACTGGCTCTGAGCAGAACCAGCGTAGAATGAGGGGAGAGCATAGATGTAAGTAGAGAAGTGATTGCTAGGTGGTTACCAGGCATTAGTCAGAAGATTTATTGTCTTGAGGAATCTAGGGGTTCTTGATAGGGTGGTCTGTGCCCCAGGTAGCTGTACAGATATTTCTTGAAATTGAGGGCTGGGACATTATGGCCTTTTCCCACTGGTGCCAAGCTTGTCTGTAACAGCTCTTCCTGCAGGTAGCTAAGTTTCCCACCTAGGCAAGCTCAGGGGGTGCAGGTGATGGTGGCCTGGCTGTGCCGAGTCCTCAGGCATGACACAGCATACTTAACTTCTGGATATTAAAGATGGCTATGAGAAAAAGACAAAAGTACAAATAGGGATTATGTGTCACTCAGGGCTAAAATTTGAAAGTTGGGTAATATATAAAATATATAAAAAGAATATATAAAAGTTGCTTTGTGTTGTTTAATATTCTTTTCTGATAGCAATTTTAAGTTATAGCCATTCCTGATCATGCTTTAACTCAACAGTTATTCTTGCATTTCTAATATGTACATTTTGATTGAAAGTACAAATTCAGCTCAAACTGTTAAGTGCTACTACTTGTAATTAGGACAGAAGATTAAAAATTATTTGCTTGAAAATAGAGGGGCAAGCATAAACATGAATAAATTACTCATTTGGTTACTATGTTGTCTACCTTTAACCAATAATAAAAAGAAGCTTACAAAATTGAAGGAATATAAAAAAAATAAAAATTGTGGGAATAGGCCCGATTCCGTAGAAATCTTTCTTTTTTTTTTTTGTACCGGGGATTGAACTTGGGTCCTTGCACTTGCGCAGCAGGTGGCAAAACCACTGAGCTAAATCCCCGGCCCCATAGAAATCTTTCTTAATTCAACTTCTAATTTTGTAGATGTATGTTCTAATTCACAAAGGCTGTGATATTTGTAATGACTGCATTATATTCTGTCTTATTTGGGTAACACATTTCATTTAGCAGTTCTCCTAATCAGCAAACTTAGTTGATGTTAACTTTTCCATATTATAGAGGACAGACTAATACACATTTTTGTATTTATTCATGCATATGTATCTTTTTCAGTTATATTTTCTTAGGTTGAATTCTAAAGCTCTTAGTAGTATGTCTAATCTCTCTCTAGGAAGAATGTATCAATTTACACTTTCATGAACATGTGCTATACTTTGTGTTTCTTAAAATTCTCATAAGTTTTTTTTGTGTGTGAGTTTGGTAGGTGGAAAAAACCAAAAATTTTAGTGTTTAAGTGAGCATTGTTTTGTTTAGTGGAGTTAACAATTTGCGAAGTTTTTTAGCCATTATGTAACTTATTTTTTCCCTTTGCCTATTATTTTATTTTCATTTTAAGCACTTTCTATACCTTAAGTATAGCAGTTCTTCAATACTATAAGTTTTTTGTCTTTTAATTTGTTTGTAAAACTTTTTCATTTATTGAAGCATTTTACAACAGATACTTTCATCATTCCTTTCCTTTACAGTTTTGGCCTCAGGATATGAGGTGTTTTGAAATACATTTGATGTTAAGTATATTTCAAGGACTATTCCAATACTGACCATGTCATTTGCTATTTGAACTACTTCCTAAAACTGATTTACATTTCTCTTCCTATGGGAAATTAGTTTATCCTCACTTTTCCATTTTGTAAGGAGCATAATAAACAATCCTGTAGTAATATTTTTATGCACATAATTTCCAAGATTTTTCATTTCTTCGGCTAAAATTCTAGAAGCAGAATTGCTGGCAAGAACTGTTAGTTATCAAGTCTACTGTGCGTTAGGTCTCATAGTACATGCTTAGCATTTATCTTCTTCAGGAGCTGCATAATGTCCATGGTGTTTCTATTATCAAGGTAACTACAGTGGAATGTAGTACATGTGGTTGTTTTGGGTCATCTCTTATTCCATATGCAATTTGATGAACTTATGGGACATGGATAACAAGGTGAAAGAATCACAAACCATGGTTAAATAATTGTATTTACTAACTGTATGTAAAACCAGCTTGGCTTCCCAGAGGATGCATGGTTTGTCTTTGTACAGTCTCTGGACTTCAGTGTTTTTCTTTTCCTTCCTGGAAAACCTTGCAGGCAATACAGTATGGCACCGAAGACAACAGTACTGCAGTAGTGGTGCCTTTTGGCGCCTGGGGAAAATACAAGAACTCCAAAATCAACTTCTCATTCAGCAGAAGCTTTGCCTCCAGTGGCCGATGGGCCTGATGGCTGGCCTGGAGCTGGAGTTTTCTGTGCAACAGTGTTTGCTGAATTCGTCAAGACACTGATAGATCAAAAGATTCACCTGTGCCAGTGTGACCCTGTGACTGATTAGTTCAGTACTCAAGTCAGTGTCAATAACCATATATTTACCTAACAACTTTCTTATAAATACTGTACTCATTCTATTTATGTTCATCCATCCATGCTTAGTATAAATACATGTGCAATGAAGCTATTGTGAGTCTCTGAGTGGACAAATGAGGATGGTTTTGGTATACTTGATGTTTGTTTTGTTTTTGTGGTGCTGGAGATTGAGCCCAGGAGTTTTCATATGAATTTCTAATTTTTAAGACTCCTAAACAACTGTGGTTTCTTCTGATAATTTTTGGGTTTTACTCATTTAAACAAGTTCTTCAAGTTTTTCTGAATTTTGGCAGCAATTCAATATGTTATCTACACATGTCTTCCTTCCTTCCTTCCTTCCTTTCTTCTTTCCTCACCTTTCTTTCATTTTTCTCCCTCTCTTCCTTCTTCCCTTCTCCTTTTTGTGAGAGGGTATCTCATTGTATTGCCCAAGTTGGCCCTGAATTCCTGACCTCAGGCAATCCCCCTGCCTCATCCTCCCAAACAACTGGGACTACACAGGGGCACTATGCCTTGCTTACAAGTGTTTATAATTAATAACTGTGCCAAGGAGTAAATGTGAAAACTGGGTTTTTGTTACCACATTTTGTGTTCTGGGCCACTTCCTGGTAAATGTAACCATGCAAAAGAAATTCAGATAATAGACCATTGCTAAATTGTATACATATTTATAGACAGCATACTTGTGTATTTCAACTATTACCAGGACCCTTTCCATTTATTTCTATTTTTCTGTAGTTAAGTATGGTCTATAGATGTGACTATTCCTTAATATCAGAAAAGAATGTGTGGGATAAGGGTCTTTTGGTCAGAACAATACAAAGTTATGTATTTTGTATAAAATTTTCATTTGTTGTCTCTAAATCTTGTTTGTATGTAATATGTTCATATCACTTTTTGTATAGAGTAAGCAAGTTGGATAATTTGTTAGTAATAATAATACCACATGGAGTGATGCTGATGTAGACAGCTTGAGGTTTATGTCTCTGTTTTGCTCATTTCTAAGACTATGAGAAATAATAAGTCTAAAACATGCTAAAACATTCTGTTTCTCAGCTGGCTATGTAAATTAGGAATGTAAGATGATACTTCTTTTCACTTGCATGAAGGTTTGTTGTTCAACTGTGAGTCTGTAAATGTGTGGTTGGAATTACATCTGCAGTTAATTTTCAGACTATGTAAATTTGTTATGTATGTGGTATGTGTATATATGTATATTTTGAAGTAATATAAAATTAAAGGGAACAATCTTGTATAGGTAATTCATCAGTTAACTTTAAATTATTGATATATTTGTCTCTAAAGATGCTTGACAAAGTGAGGGCAGTTTTCCTGTAATGGAGAATCTAGTTATTGGCAGATAAGGAAGTAGATTAAGAATGGCTGTAGGAAACATTTTCTGTTGGGTAATTTATCTGGATAATCCAGGGACAGAGCCAGCATGTTGAACTACATTGCTGTGTGGTACTTTGAACACAAAATGAGATTTGAGAATACTGAATGTTAAGTATGACATGGAAACAAAAGAAAAAGAAACCAAAAAAGAAAAAAAAGGTTGATGTATATAACTTTAACTGTCAGTTTTCAGGACTGATTTTTTTAAAAAAAAATTTTAAGCTTTACTTAAAGATTTTTAGAAGAAAGAGGGCCAAGTGTAAATATTCACATCTCACTTTTGAGGGAACAGAAGAAAATGAATCTTGAATTCTCTTACCTATATTAATCAGGAATTGTCTTTCGAGAAACAGGGCTAACTAAATATTTCAGGGTTTTTTTCAAGTAAATTAGTGCAAAAAGGACAGCATTACAGGAAAGAATATAGTCTGCTGTTCTTTGAGCAGAGAGGAACCAAAAAATAGACTAGCAGAGTTGGGAAACTTTCTTGCTTTTTCTGAGTCAGGTCTTGGAACAGAGATATTTTTACATTTAGGAACAAGCAGAATTTCCAAACGAATAGGTAAAACAAAACCTCATAAAACAAAACTAATAGGTAAAGCACAAAAATGACACTCTAAAGGTCCAGATTTCATTTTGTTTTGAATTCTTCACATTATTAGTCCTCTCTTTGTTAAATTTAAAAACTAAAAGAGAGTGATGTTGTCAAGTTCAAATGCCTGAAAGTCATTGGCAGAAGGAGGTAAGTTGCCAGGTTTGACAAAGAGGAATTTGTACGATAGTGGCCTTGGGTGCACTTGGCTGTTTTACCTGGAAAAATTTTAAAACCCTAAGCCAGTCATCCTCGACTAAGCATAAAATATACTGGTATTTATATTTTTCAAGCACAATATTAAAATACATTTAAAATGTAGATTATTATATAATCCATAAAAGAAAAACATGTATTAGGCCTCTAAAGCTTGTTACAAGAAATCATGCAAATACTAGTAAAAAAGGGAACTGTTCTAAATATAGTTTTTAAGTTATAACTGTGAATTTGTCATGTGGGTATAGATATGGTGTAAATTAAATAATACAATAAAACATATCAATCATATGTTTGCCTTTTCTGTGTTGCTTTTTCTGTATTGTCAGAGTATTTGCCAAAATTTATTTGGTGAAATATTCTTAAATTATTTTGATATTTTGTAAGCATAAGCTCTTAGTACCCCAAATATTCAAAAGTAAATGCTGTTATCTCCATCAACTATTTATTAAAGATCTTTGAGTTTCTTAAGTGCTTCAGTTTGTTTTTGCATTTTTTCTGGAAAAAAAATCCACTTAGGAGAAATCAGTTTTGATTCTTTGTATTCTGTGATAGGAACTTTCCCCAAATTCAACATTCAAAAAAAATTACTTTGAAGTGTTAGTAGCATATAAAGCATAGAAATAATTTTTTTAAAAAGTGAAATCCTGGCCTGGGGATTTAGCTCAGTGGTTTCGCTGCCTGCTGTGCAAGCACAAGGACCTGAGTTCAATCCCTGGTACCAAAAAAAAAAAAAAAAAAAAAAGAAGAAATCCTTTTTTAAAGGGTTTTAGCAGAGAAGAATAGGCTTCTAACTCTTCAATGTTATTTAGTTTCCTTGCTAAGAATGAACAGGGATTTAACTTCATGGTTAAAGGACAAAAAGAATGTGCCTCAAGATAGGGCCTGTGGGGTTAAAGTTTAGCATTAAACAGTTAAACACAAGTATGGACTTGTATCTCCTTTAGTTCCTCAATAGTTCTATACACCTATTTCTGTGAAAAGTGACAAGAGATTTGAGTTGGGTTACATTTTATTTTATTTCATAAACTTACTTAAATAGATGGATTAGGTAGAAATAATAAGGCATGCCTTTACAAGGTGATTAAACCAAATTGTCATGGCCTTCTTGTTGTTTTTGGCATCTGTGATGAGACCAGTTGATTCTCTGGTTGTCAGATGGTTGAAGTGGTCCATTGCTGGTCATTGGTTCTGGCTGTGAGCTGATAGTGGTACTCCACTTCCAAGAATAACTTATCTGCCATTAGATTCTAGTAGAGAATTTAACTGCCTGGTGTGTCCCAAATTAATTTCTACTGAAGGGCTCTGGTGTACTTTACAATTTTATTTTATAATTTACCTAAGTATTATTTGGTGTATAGCGCCTCCTACAGTGAGTTGATATAAGTGCTGATTTGACTGTGTTACAATGACTGAGCAGACTATAATTGCATATCTTGGTGTTGAATATATCATTCTAATAAAATATGTGCATTAAATACTTTCTAAAATTCCACTGTCTTTATTTGACATTCATGCTATCCAAATTGTATTATGCATGTGATCATGTGAATATAATAAAAGGATATGAGCCATGCATAGTTGATATTTCTTTTAGTAGCCAAATTCTTGCTGTTTTCAAATGAACATGAGGAGGCTTTGGGGGGAAAAAAGGCTACACTCACACCTTTTCAGATTTTTTGCTTTTTATCTAGCGCAAAATTCATTTCTTGTTTTTATCTTCCAAAATATTTGATGGTGCATCAGAGCAAACAGGTCATGATAATTTCTGTAATGCATCTGCAGCTTCAAAATTTTGTATTATATTTCCCACTAGCATATTCAAAATATAATAAAAATTAGAAACAGCTCCTTGGCAGTGATACTACAGAATTCAGCATTATGCATTTAACACAAGCGGTTTTAAATGTCCTGTCATTGACTGAATTAAGTGTAATAGTTTGTATTCTATAGGCAAAAGGACCTCTTGTAGAATGTGTCTCCTGTAGGTAGCTTGGTAAATTTACCTGGCAGTTTCTATATGTTTAGCAATGAGAAACAATCATTAGTGTTTGTTAAATGAGTAAATTAATGAATTGAATTCTACTTTGATTTCTTTTATGTTAATAGTGAAGCAGGCATTAGTTACTTTGAATAATTAAGCAAAGAGCCAATAATTAAGCCAAGATATTTGTATAAAGGGATGACATTTCACCTCCACTGGTGTTTACTGTATGGTTCAGAATCTCATTCTGAAACTCATCCAAAGAAAGTCAATACCTAAACGAGCTGTGCTGCATGGATGAGTCTAACCTTGTTTTTTGAGAAAGTGGAGAAGGAGAAATGAATATTGAAGGTCTTTTATGTGCCTTGTTCTCATTTTGTTTGTTTGATTTGGTTTTGGTTTTCTGAGACAGAACCTCACTATGCAGTCCAGGATGGCCTTGCATTTGCTATGTAGCTCAGGTTTGTAATCCTGCCTCAGTCTCTCTTCTGCTGACATTACAGGTGTGTACCAGCACATCTGACTGAGCCATGCTTTTTTCTCCCCACATATTTCATTCTTCACAACAACCACAAGGGGGAAAGCCTTTGTAATTCTCAATTTTATAGATGAGATAAAGCATTGGTGTAGCTAATATGGGTAAGATCTCAGGTCCAATTCAGATCTCTTTGGCTTCAAAGTCTAAGTTCCTCCTACTGTGTCATACTTCTGTTATTAGCAAAAGCAAAACCAATTCAATACCCACATCATCTATTAAGTATCCATCTGTGCTGGGCTTAGTGATACACATCTGTAATCCTAGCTACTCAGGAGGCTGAAGCAGGAGGATCACAAGTTCAAGGCCAGCCTGGGAAAATTACTGAGATCCTGTCTCTTAAAGGATGGGAGCCTGCTGGGGGCGGTAATTAAGTGGTAGAGCTTCCCTATCAATCCCCAGTACTACATACACTCAAAAATATATCCATCTGCAGAAGGATCTATGATGGACACAAGAAAGAATTATGAATATATGAACTGAAGGACCCTAGTTAGCAAGACAGACTCCATATTGCTGCTTGACCCACCTGCCTGCCCTTTAGATGAACTCAGAAGGAGGAAGCTTAAAAACCTCCTCCCCTTAGAAAGTCTCTTTAGAAATAACAATTAATCAACTATTGTTTTACAAATGTTCTAACAGCAGGACGTTCTGCTTCTGTACCTTTTGCTTGCTTTACTAATTCTATCCCATAGGGGGGCCTAGGAACTGTTGGCCTCAAAGGTGTATAAAACTTGTTTGTCAACCCCCAGTCAGGGCTCGAGTCTGATGCTTGGCTCTGGTCCTGGCCGGTAATAAACTCCTGTGCGGATTTAATATCGGTCTCTGGTTGGTTCTCTCTCACTGGGTGTAACATGAACCAGCAACTAACTCATTGGATGAATGAACATGAGAGATGGTAACTGAGGACATATTACATAAATTAAGGTATAAAACTAAATTCTATGCAAACCAAATGAATAGAACAGGGGAACAAATGTGAATAAGTATACAGAATTGCCACTTTAAACAGCACTGAAAAGGACAGCAGAGAATCAAATAACTCAGTATACCAGTGACAAATACTGAGAACCCAATGTACATTTCTAAAAAAAAAAAAAAAGATTTGCAGGTGGGTCTAGTAAAGTTTGGGGAAAATGGGAGTTATCTTCCTAGAGTCCCCACTAGACACAGAAGTGAGGAAAGTTACTTGTGTCAGAAAGACAGCTATGTTTACCTGAAAAGATATAGCAAATATAAATATGTTGGGGGCAGCAAGAGAGATCTACAGAGCCTACAGAGCCTTTGGTCACTTATAAAGGGTAGGTCTTTCACGGACCAAGAGACCTGGTGAGAGGAGAATGGACCTTCATTGCCCCCACACTGACTGGCCATTGGATGTGACTGTGCTTGGGAAGAGGATATAACTGTGAGCAAGGAGAGATTCCCCTTCTAACAGGGGAAATACCTGAAGAGGATGGCAGATGAGAGCTGTCCCCTCAAAGTGCTCCTAGCACAAAGAGGAAGAGTTTCTTCAGCTCCAAAGGTAGCACAACATACCAGCCACTAAATTTTACCTCCACTCTGCAGATAAGAAAGAAAAGATTGAGGGAGTTGTCCAACATCCCATACAGATCCCTGTCTGGCTCAAACTCTCATTCCCAGGAACTGTCCCTTCTTCTTGGTCTTGCTTACATGTTTGGCCTGGGCGGCTATTTTTGCACCGACAGTATTTGGACCATATATATGGTCTTGAATAGATTCCATTTTGGCTAGTCAACAGTCAGACACTTAAAAATGTACAGTGGATCCTTGACTTACAAACTTGCTTGGTTCCCGAGGGAGGGTTGGTTATAAATTAATACAGCCGAGATCTAGATGTTTACCTGGGTACATGTTATAGATAAAAAGAGGCAGATGAATCTTCCATTAACCTAATTAACCCAAGTTGTTTGTATGTCAGGCTGGTTGTAACTTGAGGGCCCATTTTATACTCAGTGAAGTTGGATGTTATTAGACAAAAGGAAGGGAGTAAGAATGGAAGGGGAGGATAAAGGAGGCTAATGGGGGCAGGTAACATAAAAATATGTTTTATACATGTATAAAAATACCAACCCAATAAAAATACATCTTTGAAAATGTATGTTAAGGGTTGGGCAGGCTTGGCAGCTATGAAATGGGAGAAGCTAGAATTGAGAAAGCAAGTCAGACTCTGGCCTTTCCTAGAGAAGGTACACAATGTGCAGAGAGAGAAAAGCAGAGATGAGGGCAGACACTTTCTGGCCCCAGCAGTCTCTGGTCCTAGGCTAGGCTCATTTGAGAGGATTTCTGAGCAAACAAAAACTCCTGCATATATCAAAAAGAAAAATTAAAAAGTGTGGGAGACCAGATGGGAAGATTGAGGCCTAATTGGCCTCCACAGTGAGCACTAAGAACTAAGCAGCAAAAGGACATGCGGGGATACTGACATGCTGCAGGGCAAAGTAAAAACACCTGAGATACTTTTGTTTACCTGGATAATACCATGGAGGGAGGGAGACAGATGAATCCTGTGGAACTCTAATTGCTTGTACCCATATCTGAGTGAATAAAGTCAAGGTGCACCAGTTACTTGGGGCTCTGTGTCGAAGGGAGACCTATCCCCTCTTCCCCCCACCCCCATGTTTTAACCTGATTCTGTGCCTATTTTTTCATCCTCATTACCCTTTGGTCAGGTTCAAGCTTGTAGGCTGATTCCTAAAAAAGAAAGAAGGGAAAAGCAACTATGTGAGTGTTCTGGCAAGAGATTCAATCCCAAGCATATCTCATTCCAGAGTCAGTAGTTTGCCACTACAGAAGTTAGACCTGGTTACTAAACACTTACACATTAATAATTAAATGAGAAAAATTCCACAGAGAACCTGAGAATGATGCAGCTGTTCCTGGCAACCAGGAAGAACCAAATAACTGGAAATTGTATGCGGGCAAGGAGAGAAT